TAAAGCCCTAAATTGCTTGGCTCCAAGCTATCTCAAAAAACAGTATCTTCCATTATTAGCCTGCCCAGTGTTAAGATCATCAGGAGAAGCCTTTCTCTCAGTCCTGCCACCTTCGCTGCCATGTTTGATGAGGACACAGAACCTAGGGTTTGAACCTAGGTTTCTGGAGTTCTACTCCAACATTTTGACCACTGGAATGGGGAATATGTAAAGGACAGGAAATTGGTGATAACTCTTGAGCACTGACTCCTGGCATAGATAGGTAGGTTATCAAGTCTGGAGAAATTTCCAACCAGGAAAGAAAGCTGTAGTGATGTCCTTCCAAAAAGTTAGTGTACTCCCCAGTCCACTTAAAAGTGTTAGTAGCCTCTCTCCCTCAGCTGTGCCTGATGTGTTTGCTACTCAAGAAAATTGCAGTCATAATCACTATGTTAGCTTTAAACTGGCAGATTCATGGAGCATAAGGTTGCTTATGGCAAAGAGTCCTGTAGACTATGTGCTACGTACCTACAAAATCAGTGCCTCTCAGAGGAGATCAGCATACTATACTAGATGCACTCTCTATTTGATTCTTAAGGGGTTTTATATATAGGTACTTGTATGGTTGTACATATTTGTATTTGCTACAGTTTTGTTTATTTACTGTTCTTATTAAACTGCTCGCAAACGTAAGTTCTCTGTGCAGCTATATGCATAATATGTGGATATTGGTTTTATAGTAATCTGGTTGGCGTTTTCTTAACAAGGCAAGATTAAAAATTACAAACTTAAATACTTATTTTATGTTTCTGAGTAGTAGTTTCCAACAGAATAGTTGTAGCTCACATTCCCACGTGCAGAAGGTGTTATTTAGAATTCCAAGTATGCGTTAAATTGGTAAAGTTCAGGTATACATATAGTACACTGGGCCAGCTTGTTAGCAAGGCAAGATTAAAAATTACAAACTTAAATACTTTATGTTTCTGAGTAGTAGTTTCCAACAGAATAGTTGTAGTTCACATTCTCACGTGCAGTAGGTGTTATTTAGAATTCCAAGTATGCATTAAATCGGTAAAGTTCAGGTATACATATAATACACTGGGCCAGCCTGTTAGTGGTATCAGTAGCAATTTTGTGAATGGCCTGTGTTAATAATGCAGTTGCCACTGTCAGTTTTTTCTGCATGGAATATTGCTTTGATTTCATTGCCTATAATTGCATCCCTATCCATGTGCACCTCATCTCATGTATCTGAAGTTCTGGATAACACTTTGTGCATCTGATAAAATGTACTATAGTCTATCAAACTTTATGCTATTGTGTAAGTGTTGGCATTTAAGGTGTCATGATTTACTTCAATAAACAAAGGCAGAGTCCAATAAGCCAGTCCAAGCTCAGAAACCAGAGAATCAGTTAGAACCAGCAGTAATAATGCTGGAGTCAAGGAATCACAAATATAACCAATGGTCAAGATAGCTCCAGGAAATACGAAGGCAAGTTACAGGTCAAGACAACAATTGTTTCCTGCACCGATTCCTCGTGGGAGCCTGCCTTATATGGGGAGTCCATGCTTTTACATTGGTCTCAGCTGAGCCCTTAACTGAAACACTACATAAGGTGCCACAGGATTTTGTTGTTATTTTAGAGTAGGAATTGCACCTCTGTTTGACAATGTCTGCTACTGAACATAGGAATCCCACACATTAAAAGCCTCCACTGCATTCATTAGCAATCCATCTGTTGACTGGAGCTGGAGGAGGAAAATGACTTGAATATCATAGAAAACTTGAAATGGGCAACCTTGGGACACCAGTTGGTGATGATGCTTCTCCCTTCTGCTGCCACTTTGAGATCTGTTTTTGATGGGATTTTTAGGACTGTATGGGATTCTTCTTTGTCTGTGATCACACCAAAAATGTCTTCCAGTTCTCCCCCTTTGATTTCTCAATTTAAATTTGCAGTAACATGATGCATGGCCATTAGCGAGTCATTTACTGGGCAAGCATGCTAACTGCAGATCATTTCTCGCTGGACCAGAGGCTTCTATCTTTTTTGTTGCAGATCTTTTTTTTTAATGTTGCATTGTTGCATGTGTGAATGATCTTGTCACAACTTTTTTGTGACTACTGTCACTGTGCATGTCCTTTTAAAATGCCCCCCCCCCGGTGGTGTTTTTGTCGATGCATCACTTAACTTCTTAACACAACTTGGGGTTCAATCCCAGGTAGCCAGCTCAAGGTTGACTCAGCCTTCTATCCTTCTGAGGTCAGTAAAATGAGTACCCAGCTTGCTGGGGAGGCAGTGTGTAGCCTGCATAATTAATTTGTAAACCGCCCAGAGAGTGCTTGAAGCACTATGGGGCGGTATATAAGCAGCATGCTTTAACTTCTATCAGACAGTCTCAACAAGAAGTGCTAGGTACTTATTGAGTTGGAAGGAAATGACTTAGTAACCCAAAAACATATTGGGACGCACATCCTGGAATAAATACTGTGTGAACTCAAAGATGACAGGAACACAAAAGTTGCATAACCACAGGGGAATATTTCACTAGTACAACTATGGCCAAATTTATTGCACAATGGAAGGACAGCAAGCGTTAGAATTTATTGGGACACACATCCTGGAATAAATGCTGTGTGAACTCAAACATGACAGGAACACAAAAGTTGCATAACCACAGGGGAATATTTCACTAGTACAACTATGGCCAAATTTATTGCACAATGGAAGGACAGCAAGCGTTAGAATTTAGCAAGTCTCCCAAGAACTCACCTCTGTGGAGTAATTACCACCTTGCATAATTACTCAGACACCATTTGTGGGGGGGGGGAAGAGAAGAAAGATACACACATTTACTCATTGTTTCTGTAGTCTTCACAGTGTCGGAGGTTAAAGGAAGAAAGGAGAATAAAAGAAGTAAAAATAAAATGGGTTTCTCAGCCCACGATGCTGGGAAATTACTCCATGCGGCACAGAAATGTTTAGTCAGTGTGTGTGAATCCATACCTCCTGGAAAAGCACCTGAACTCAAAAACAAAAGAACAGTAAACATGCTAATTTTGGAAAAACAAGAGGAGGGTTTTGTTTTGTTTTTTAGCAGGGAAGGAGAAAGAGCCTTGCTAATTGGTTAGTAAGAGAAACGAACAGTCATGTTAATTTTCTCTACAGTATTAGGTTGCATGTGAGAATGCTAAATTTTCCAATAGTTTTGTCCTTGTGGCATAGAAGTACTTGAATCTCTCTGGTTTTTGGAGACTGATAGGTGGAAGTGGATGTAATGTACGTGGAGGCATCATTTTTTATTAATAAGTCAGACAAAGTAACCAGTTGGCTGTAAAGTGTTTAGCAAAGGGTTATTAGAACGTATGCATGCAACAAGGCCTTTGTCACGCAGAACACCTAAGGCCATTTCCTCATGCTTCATTTGGTTTGCAGGCAATGTAAAAATAAAATCCACAGTGACTCAGTTTCATTAAAAATGCCCATTCTGGCTCTTTCTCTGCAGCATGAACAGGAACTAGACTGCAATATAAAGAGAGAAGGGAGAGAAAGCAGGGAATGTGTGTGTGTGTGTGTGTGTGTGTGTGTGTGTGTGTGTGTGTGAGAGAGAGAGAGAGAGAGAGAGAGAGAGAGAGAGAGAGAGAGAAGCACAAAAGCAATGTAAAATCTGCCCCAGGTTTCTTTGACAAATTTGATGGTTCAACCGGTCACCATGTCATTCAGTCCTAGGCTCCCCTGGTCACCACCTTGGTACTGCCAGCAAGTTGATGAATCAGCAAGCAAATTGTGGCTGGACCTGCTACTGTTCTTTAATTTGCATGAACTTTATTCATATAGTGAGCTAGTGAGTGAACAGGGGTGGTAAGAGAGAGTGCCTCAAACTTCCCACTTTGTCCTTCTCAATAGCTTATGAGTAGCAGCGATTGCTGGTTCTCATCATAATCACTATTTGCCTACCTACATTGAGGGCAAATAAAGGGCAACCATGGGGCAAGGGGCAGGTCAGCTGTTTATGTTGCGCTGTATCAAAGGATCTGCAACTCCAGTGGCTATCTGAGGATGCCGGTCCTGCATGGAGGGAGTGAAATGTCGTAGGGCCATAATAATCTCTATATGTGCAAAATAGTGGGGTATCTTTGCATGGAATTGGTAAGAGCAAAAAATGCATTCAAGAAGAACATTAAATAACATTTGTTGGTTTAAACAACTTTCATTATTTTTGCTCTGCACATCCAAACTTATTTATGGGACCAAATCTATGTTACCGATTTCCGTGTATGTTGCCTCTCTCAGGTGGTCTTCCATCCAGGCACTGACCAGACCAGCTTTGTCAGAAAGTTGGCTGCTGCATTTTGTGTCTTCAAGAGATGACTGGTTCCATGGATACAGGGCTTTGCAAGATGCCTTTGTAATATGCCCTCGCATCATTGTAAGAGCACAGTTACACAGCAACATAGCATGTACAGATGATGTGTTCAGGGCAATGCTTCGTAGGCCATGATTCCCCTTGTGCATATTGCTATGGACTAGCAACTGGCATGCTATGAAAACACATGATGTTATCACATTTCTTTTTTCACAATCCACCATCCTCCTTAAACAATTTCCAGTTTGCATTCTGTCATTGAAAAAAAAAGGGTCCCAACGGCTTGAAGACATTTTGTTTATGAGATAGCACAATTTGGGGCACAAAACAGCTCAGTCAATCATTTTGGCCAAGGCCTATTCATAATAGCAGTCTTTATTTCATATTTCCTCCTTAAGTCTCCCAAATGCCTTCCCCATTGCCAACAAACTATCCTATAATATGGTATGTCATGTAAACTTTTCCTATTACTGGAGCTTACCGTGAATGGATCCCTTATTCAGGCTCACCTGTTCTGGATGGGAGATGCATTCTCCTTTAGAAGCCTGTAGTTCCATCTCTGAGTATGTGACGATGCTTCACATGTTTGCATCTTGCAGTTATTTTACAGATCAGTTGTCTAATATAAATTGATCTACTGTTCCTCCTACAGGTGCCACCCATACTTCTGGATAAACAATTCTCAGAATTTACACCGGACATTACTCCAATTATCCTGGCTGCCCATACAAACAATTATGAGATTGTAAAACTTCTAGTACAAAAAGGTGTTTCGGTCCCCAGACCACACGAAGTCCGTTGTAACTGTGTGGAATGTGTCTCCAGCTCAGATGTGGACAGCCTTCGTCACTCCCGATCCAGGTTAAACATCTATCGAGCTCTTGCAAGTCCATCTTTGATTGCCCTGTCGAGTGAGGATCCTTTTCTTACAGCCTTCCAGCTAAGCTGGGAACTTCAAGAACTGAGCAAAGTAGAAAATGAATTTAAATCTGAATACGAGGAATTGTCACAGCAATGTAAGCAGTTTGCAAAAGACCTCTTGGACCAGACCCGGAGTTCAAGGGAACTTGAAATTATTCTGAATTACAGAGATGATAACAGTCTCATAGAAGAGCAGAATGGTAACGATCTGGCAAGGTTAAAACTGGCAATTAAATACCGTCAGAAAGAGGTAAGTGGGAAAGAGAATATTTCAACAGAAATAGTTGCAATAATATATGAGATAATAATCAGTAGTTAATTGTCTCCAAGTGAGACAAATTGCTGCTGAGTTCTTTTGTTCTGTATGTTGTCTCATTTTTAATTGATTGAACATAATAAGATATTATGGTATTTTTGGATATCAGAAACTGAAATATTGCAATATATCTCAGATATAGAGGGTTTCCTGGTTTCTTTCTTCTCCTGAAAGAAATGTTGTTAATGTATCAGTCTGCTCTCTGAAAGATAAGATTCATTAATTGCTTAGCATTCATCAGCAAACAACGATGCAAGTTACTTCATACAATTGATTCATCTAAATGTGTGAGTATAATGATCAAACCAGTGAAAATAGACAAACCTGAAATGTGGCAAATTTTTTAAATGTAAAGTTCCGTGTTTACACAGAAAAACAAAATTCACAAATATAATTACTGTAATTTATTTATTTGTACGATCAACAGAGCAGATGTGAATTAATTTATTTATTTGTACGATCAACAGAGTAGATGTGAATAACACAGAACAACCGCATAAAAATAAACAGAATCAACACAACTACAATATACATTGTGTGCGGCAGACTCCCAGGGAAACAAATTCCATAGATAATTGTTTGAAGCATAACCCCACCCCTAATACATACATATTCATATATGCATCCGTACATGTATATATCTAGAAGATTAAGGCAACATTTCATGCCTGCAGACTAGTGCTGCTGCACAGAAGCTGCCCACTTTAATAGTTACTGATGGACACTGGTCTGCCAGCAGATAACATGCATAGTACTCATGATCTCTTCCAGGGATGCTTTGCAAAATTGGACTAATAAAAGTGTCACAGAAACCAGTGTAGAAGGAGCAATACAACAGAACATGGCCAACTGTCTCCACCAGACCAGCTTCACAAGGACATAAGCGCTCTTCATAGGGAATGTTCTTGTATCTGCCTTCCAGCAGGACTGAAGGAAGTACATTAAACTTAGCTAATGTAAAAGTTTTTCTATATTTTGGAAGGGTCAGAATATTCAAATAGCTTGCAGGTAAAAATGCCTGACCATAATCTCTAAAACCTGGATGGGCCGTAGCTACGCTGACATGGTGTTGCAGCTCATTGTCTGTGATGCGCTGGTGTAGTTCCTGTTTTGCTTTTGTATATCCCATTAACAAAATAGCACTTCTTGAGAGGCCCAAATTATTTAATTTCTCATTCATAGATCTTTTCCATCTGGACTGAAACTTATCAGTTAGCACTAAGGGAGCCAGCCCCACAGGGGTGAAGAACATTTTTAGCCAAAAATTCAGCTTAAGTATCCATGCCCGAGACTCTATCAACATCTGGCCTGTTTCTAGTTGTAAAAGTACATTTGGCACACAGCTCAGGAGTCCAAGGATAGTTCTCAGAAATTTCATTTGAGTGGACTCCATTGCGGTAAAATTTCAGTAACTACACCATTGTGCACCATATACAGTAACATCTGTGCTAACACCTTGGCATTGAAGACCTGAATGGTTGATGGTATATGCTGACCTCCTTTTGCAAAGAAAAAACGTATGAGTGACTTAATACTTCTCTGAGCATTTGCAATTGCATTGGATAATTGAGCCTCCCAAGATCCTGAGGACTGGAAGCTCACACCCAGATATTTATATGATTTGACTTGCTCAATTAGATGGTCATTTATTTGCCATTTATGTGTGATCC